TCTACATGTCCCTGTCTAACTACCTATCATGAAAGAAAACTAAACTAAACAAAAAAAATAATGAGATCATCCACGCAACCTGGATCAGTTTCCTGGAGTTTACTTTTTCTGTGATTTATTTGAACCACTTTTTCAAAATCCACAACAATTCACTTGAATGCATGCATATTGTCTTCTTATCTGGCCTTCCTAAAAGTCATCCTCAGCCTCCTGATTACATGTAAGTCTGTTGAACACAAGCTCGTTTAAATCACCGTGGATTATAAATACGAAAGCTTGGACAAGAAGTGATTGGAGCTTCCATCTCACACAAAGATGGTTGCTGGTTTGTCTCCCTCCTCGGTCTTGGATGTGTGCACAATCTCTCGACCCCCCCACCCCCGAGACTCTGGTTTCCTCACACTGACCAAAACCATGCACAGTTTACCTGGTTCACACAGCAAGGTAACTGCGCCAATGTTTGACACAGTTTTACCCATCTGACAATCTTAAGGACACCCCGATTATCTTGACGACTCTAAAGATAATCTTAGGAGATATTCCTGCCACGTGTTATTTAGTCGGCTCAGAAGGACGTCAGGACCGCTCGGATCTTGAATAGAGGATATTCACACACTGATTGTCTTGGCCCAGTATCACAGCGTGTAGTGGTCCCTGAGGACAAACAAGCTTGCAGACTGCTGAATGTGACGTGTAGCCAACAGTGGCGGATGCTGGTCTTTCAGGAAGGGGGAGCTCAATTTTGCCTACGTCATGAAATGTGTTGGTTTATTTATACATAAATTCTACCCTCTGTTCCTTTTCAAGAAAATGATCTGTGACCCAGTCACAGATCATATTACAGCACTTCCAGTCAGCCAGCTCACTTTGTCATAGCAGGACAGATGAAAAAACCTGTTACGTTTCCCCACCTTTTGTACCAAATTAATCTGAGGAGTTGATCAGCCCTGCTGTTTAACTCTAAGTTTTTCTTCATAAGGAAGACTATCAAATGGCTTCGCCAAAATCCGGTCCACAACATTCAAACTGTCTGCTCTTATGTGCAGCTTGCTACTGGCACGAAACTAGTGTGAAGTGTGTCCGCCTGTGAGTGCTTTGTGATGGTGCAGGGGCGGACTGGGGCAAAAAAGTGGCCCAGGAATTTAGTACCTGACTGGCCCATTCAAGGTTCGGGCTGGCAGATGATGTCTGGAAATGCTGGAGGCCAATGTTGGAGGCAGATGGTAGAGGCGGAAACAACAAACATCATCTCAGGGCACTGTACAAAATCCAATGATGTAATGTTGAGGAATTAGTAAAGTTATTAAGATATCAGAGCAGCAGTTAGATCGCAGGCATTGACCCTCAGAGTTCCATGTGGTCATTTTTGTTAAATTTTGATTTTACCCCACAAAATTAACATTATTATAATCTAATGTGACATCATTTTTTTCCAGCATATGAAATGTGTGAATTTAAACTATTTTCTTTCATTTAAATATACTATTATTGTATGTTAGACCTTTCAATAAATAAATAAATAAATAAATAAATAAATAAATAAAGTCAAAAAATATAATAAAAATCTATGTGGGCAAAGTTATTTGGGAAACTCACAAACATTTATGATTTTTATCTTTTAGAATGCCAATGTAAGATGTAAATTTCTAAAACTGATGTTAAAACATTTTAAGCAAAACAGTTTTATAAAATTATCAGTTACTGAGCACAGTTTGGACTTAGTCCACACATGATAATGGCTTTATTTATTTAACAGCTAAATGCATTGTTTTAAAAGTTAGCAAACTAGAAAAAATACAGCCACCTATAGGGGAGATTGGGGTAAGATGAGCCATTTTTCATATTTAGGATCACTACATCAAGGCAATCATAGTTTTGTTGCCAACTAATATATCTGCAAAAACTGTATTTGAGGATGTTGTGCATCCATTCAAACAAACAGAATGAGTGTAAACACAACTGTTTCAATAATATAGCACGTCTAAAAAATGTTCTTGGGGCACAACTTACCCCCTGAATGGGATAGATGAGCATAGGAGTRGGGTAAGATGAGCCGTATCCCTACTTCCCCCCACTCCACCCCTCCCTTGCCTTCTCCCTCCCTAAATAACCGTGATTTTACGCAATATTCTGTGTATATACTGTGTTCATTGAAGGCAGTGGCCCTTGCCAAGGATGCGGCCTCTGGTGTCCGGCATGACAGATGATGTCGGTTTCTAAACATCTCAAGCCAATCCACTCCTGGAAAAAAGTTTTCTTWACAATGATGCCAATAATATTTTTCCACTAAGTTATCAMTTGAGTTTGCTTKAATTTTCTTAGCCAGCGGGCTGGTTGGCAGTAATTATTGGAGCGAACCTTACATATTTAGATAGATCTCTATGTTCAATATCTCTTACGCTACATGCTCGTTCTTCTCTTGACCAGTGTTCTGGCACAGGGATGTTGTTTTGCTTTGCAAACTCATAGGCAAGTTCTCTGCATTTGAGGGTAGTAAGCCCATGAAACTGGTCTGCGAGATTCTTAAAATGTTTGGCAAGTTCAGACTCCATGCCATCTGAGAGAATCCTTTTAGCCTCTGCTACTCCATCACAGCCTGTATTTTTCAAAGGTACATTTCCTTTTTTGTCAATGTACCWCTTCAGTGTCATTCTGTCTATTTTAGCATCCTGCTACTTAAATTGACTTCCCTTCTCKCACTTCACTGGTGGCTCTTTAAGGAACATCAATGGTGGCTCACTTGTTTTGCGCTTGTATACACAAGGTATGATGTCCACTCTGTAATCATACAAATGCAGAATCTTGATTTAATATTTAAGACATATAGGCTACAGCCAAAATACACTTGTGTATGGGGTAAGTTGAGCCACCGGCTCAATTTACCCCTGGCCAAATGACTCAATTTACCCCAGAGCTACCATTTTGATATTATTAGTCCCCACAGCTAAAATGGTGCACTTTTATGCTAGGTTTACCTCATGGTGTAGCTCATAGATACCATAAWTGATGTACAGTAAGAAAGAAATTTAAAATTATTTATTTTGGTCTAAACACAATTTTCATGAAACATAAATTCACTTTCAAGGGTGAAATTTTTTTTTTCAGAAAAAAATGTCTAACCACATTACCCATGTGGTTCTTACCTTCACAGAAATGACAGCTCCTCCTAAACATTTGGTCACTTGATCAATTTTGTTTACCATTTCCTTGCAACAAGGGGTGGCTCAACTTACCCTTTGGCTCAACATATCCCAGTCTCCCCTACATGAGTACCATTCTTCTCCCAGTCACGTTGTTCTCCAGACGTATAGGTTCCAATGAGGATAAGGATGATGCACCAGCAGAAAATAAATGTCAGTTTCTGACACTTGGCTGAATTTGCTTGTAGATACTTTTTCTTTTCTCTCAATCTTTGTTCTCCTCCCTTATGTTGATTCTCCATTTTT